TGAATGGATAAGGAGGAAACTACCATCACCATTTGCCTGCCAGAAGGAAAGGCAAGAAGTAGTGCCATGGCAGAGAGTGTAGAGGGGGTCAGTGCATCTTTTAGGTTTAGATAGACTAAGGGGGGAAGCAGACGGCGCAAAGCGCCGTCTTCAGGGCAAGGAAGGGGAGGGGCAGCTGCACGCTGGGTGCCCCAACCCCTTCCCGAAGATATCGTTGGAGCGCCGGACCTTCCGCACGTCCAGTGCTCCGAGGATGCCTATCCGCCGCAGCGTCCACACACGCTGCGGCGGAAAAGGCACTGAAGGTGCGCCGGCAGCCTTTTGCGGCGCACCTTCGGCGATTTGCGGAAGGAGCGCTATTTTAGCGCTCCTTCCTGGGGCAGCGAAGCTGCACTGTGGGGCCGAGGAATGCAGATGCCTCGGCCCCAATCCGCAGCTTCCTGGGGCGGCTCCGTGCCACCCGTCTGCTTAGGCCCTGAGCTATCACTTTTTGCCACTCTACTCAGAAAAGGGATGGTTCCCTTTTTTTTTTTTTTTTTTTTTTTTTTTTTTTTTTTTTTTGTTAAGAGCTGAAGTACAGTACTTATCCACTGATGTCAACCCAGGTTTTTTGGGTGAAATTTTTGACTAAAATTTCTAGCCTTATATATGATTATTTAAAGTAGGATAAAAGTATGTTAAACACTTGCATTTTTCTTGTGATCTTGGTCAGATCACTACATTAAGTTAGGAACTGCAAGGAAGGTATCTTTAGTACTTACTATTAACTGTCCATTCAATCCCTCTTATCCAATCTTCATGGCCATGGAGTACCAAAGTTTTATGAAACTGCAACAAACAAAAAATCCTAATTAGATAGCATGAAAATCCATGTTTCAATATTCTATGTTGATCTATGGGGATTTCTCTGGATCAGGCTTTGTTACTCAAGGTTCATGTATGCTCAGGGCCACAGGGCATTCTATCAGCTTTGGCTGCTTTAAAGGTCTGGCCATATTTAGTCATATCCCAGTAGCCTAACAAGCAGAATACTGTAATATGTTATACATGAGTCTGTTTTTATCTGGAAGCTTTACTTGGTACAGAATGTAGATGCTGACCAGCAGAGTTGATTTGGATTGTATCTCATGCTGTATTTACATATCTCCTTTGACTACCCATAAATCTCCAAGATAAACTCAAAGTGCAAGTACTGGTTTTCACTGTATGAACCTGAAATCCAAATATCTAAAGGAACACTTTCACCCATAGTATTCTGCCTACACCTTCAGACCAACAGAAGAGATGCCAAGTACCGTATTTTTCGGCAT